GGGACCAGCCAAGGACCTATCAAGGAAAGTGGGGAAATTTTGAATGGCTACTACTGTAGTTGGAACTCTAAAGGGATAACTTGCTTTTAGGCTAAGATCTGTCTTCACCATAAAGCAGAGCAGCACCCAGAGGCAGTAGCCATGCCAGCAGGGAGCTGCCAGCAGGCAGTACCCTAAAATATTCCCGGCACCTCTTACAAACATCCTCCTACTTTACCTTAAAGGCCTCCCTACGCTGGTAATCCAGCTTCGCCATCTCCTCTTTGACCCATGTAGGAACGTCAGGGATGGCCACATGGATGATGTACTTCAGGAGAATCGCAAAGTGCTTAAAGAGACAAAAGGAAAAAAGGTATATGAAACACATTTTAAAAATGCATTCCTGAAATGAATGGTTTATGTTCTAATCAGACATGAAAAATGATGCGTATTGATTCAATAAACAAATTTTACTCAAACTAATAGCAGCACCAAAACCTGTGGGCTGTAAAATGTCCTTCTGGTTATGCTTGACTTCTTAATCAGGCCAGAACAGAGCCGCAAGCTGTTCTTGTCTTTCAGACACAAACAGCAGCAGAGTGCAGAGCGGACCAAGGTAAAATAAAAAAATAAAAAACACTGGCAGGAGCAGCAGCATAGACATACATTCAAGTTAAGGTCTGGAATGATCAATCGAGTGTTGAAGTAAATGGGAACTATTTCAGCAATCAAATGAATAAATGATGTAAAACTTTTGTGAATATTTTCTTTCGGAATCCCTGAAAATCACCTTCTTCAAATTAAACAACAATTTGCTGTCAGATTAGTTGGTTAATAAAGAAATATCTATAGAATATTTAATTAGCAAAATTATAACTAATTACAGCCCTTGGCTATAAGAGCAATTTAATTTTATATTTTGCTTGGACGGTAATAGCTTTTTAACTTTTACTTGTTTATAGGTAAAAACTTCAACAATGTGCCCAATAGACACTTGATTAGAAGTCTTTAAAAGAAAAAGCATCAGCTTCCCCCTCTATGTCAGTGGTCCTTTGATTAAAGCACATAACCCAAAAAGGGTTAACAATATAGCTACTGCTACACTGCTCTGATTGGTTGTTTAGAAATAAAGTGCTTAAAATCTACATTAATTATCCTGAATATGTGTATAAACTGAACTTATGATGCATCCCTTCAGTATACCTAATGAATGGCTCATCACCAGGTATCTCTAGAGCTGCATGGCGTGTTGATGAGGGGATTTAGTGATTCGGCTCAGAAGAGATGCATTTAAAGGTTGCAGGATAATAGCTCTCAAGGACTGGACTTAGTCACACCTAATGCAGGATAATGTTTAGAAAACATGAACTGTTGAAGCTCATCTCTACAAAAATGGCAGGACCTAACTCTATCAGCGGCACTGACCCTTTTAAGCTCATCTAATCCTGCAATAAAATATGTTACAAGGAAAAGAACACAGACGGTCAGCTTTTTGGTATTTCAGATCACATAAGGACTTAATGTTATTTTATACAAGTAGTTAAAAAATGTTTGTATAATGTTTTAACCAGACACAACATGTGTTTCTTAAAATTTTTTTAGGGTAATTAGGAGGGGAAGCAGTGAAGATTGTTGACGGTTGTTTTGATCGTACAGCACACTTTGTGATTTTTCCTCAATTCTGTTAGTTCTTAACTTTCCGGTTTCCTTTCAAAGCCTAGTAGATAGAGCAAGGTGTTGATGCTGGTTCAAATGTTTCCGTTAATATTCCCAGGGTCCATTTTGTGTGTGCAGCTTGGTGCTCCTTGAGGGGGAAAGGTGAAACGAGGATAAATTGGGGGAAAATATAGAAATAAAAAGAACACCCTATATTAACTGTCTTGGCTCAGTTTTTCCCCATTTAAGTTATTAGAGATGTTTTGTTATATGAAACATTTGGAATCTTTAGATCTTCTGCTTGTGAGTTGTTTATTATAGCAAAATTAAAAACTGAAATTATCACGTTTGCATTCAAATTTCATCACACTTGGAAAACAACGGTCTTTAAATATTGCATTTCTAACAGTCCTTTTCAATATTAATGCTGTGTGCACTGATCTTGTGATAATATGCAGTATTTGAAACACTGTGCCGCCTTAGGCAAGGCCTCACAGAACTGGAAACGAGAGAGTGCTGAAAGTTTGTTTTAGTTTTGCATTTTTAAGGTTGAAATAATAATAAAATTATTTAAAGGTGTTTTTAGGTTAATAATTTAACATTACTTGCACAGTTTTTAACCTTCTGTCCATTTTTACTTATGCATTTATTCTACTTCAAGTGTTAAATTTTCTTATTTGTATATGTGTATCCAATTATTTGTCACGTCTATTTATCCTATATTACACAAAAAAAATTTCTTTCTGTTGCTGTTCTAAGTGTGGATTTTTGTTATTAAAATAAAGTATATTAATATATAGTATATTAGTAAGTACTGATTATTTCAAAATGTAATTTTACCATTTCAAATAATTTCATTTTCAATAGTTCAGAATAGTGATGCACCAACATAACTTTTTTTATACTGATACAGATTATTCAATCACTATATATGCTACAAATGTATTATTTATATTTGGGGGGCAGATTCTTGAAGATGATATTGTTTTTTTCATCTATTTACTTGATATAAATGACAAGATGTTATTGTAATAAATTCTACAGGTCTCAACTGCATAACAAAATTATGAACTAATCACAATAACAAGAGAACCAAAATGAAGGGAAAGGCAATCCTTGCAGCAGAATGCCCACAGCATGGATGCAGAATGTGGTATATGTGGAATGAATGCCGATATTGGCTGATGTGAAATAAACTGAACAGCTGCCGAAAATACTGGCAGAAATTTCATTTCAAAAATCAAAAGATTAGATGTGCTGATTCATCTAAACATTTCTGTTCACATTTTGTACTACAGTGCCCTTTTGAATATGGTGACCTCTGTTAATACGATTTGAATAAGGTGTTTTTACTTTTTTGGGTTTGGGGGCATAGGTAATGTGTTTTTGATCTTCTTAAGTACTTTGTGGAAGATGATCTAAAAAAAAAAATATATATATATATATATATACTGTATATATATATATATATATATATATAT